GTCGCAGTCCACGGTCACGCAGATGCGCCGCCTTCGTCGTCCTCCGTCTCCGAGTCGTCGTCGGATGTAACGTTGGACGTGTGATGTAACCCTGGCATGCCATGCAACTTTTCGGTGAGTGGTACAACCCTGGCACGCAGTACAACTTTGCGGTGAGTGGTACAACCCTGGCATGCCATACAACTTTCCGGTGAGTGGTACAACCCTGGTACCTCGTTCAACCCCAGCACGCCGTACAACCCCAGCACTCCGTACAACCCCAGCACCCAGTACATCTTGTTATGCGCACCTGACGCAGTAGTTTTAGGTTATCTTCCTAAACTCTGCCCTCAAGTGCACTGACGCTTTGCAGTGTTATGAGATGGTGTTATGAAGTTAGCCTCACAAGTTCTTGTGACGTCCTATCCTTATAACGAATCCTCCCATCCTAACCTCGCTCCTTCATGTACCATATCGATCCTCACTACAAGTCATACCTCTTTACTCCCCCTTTGCATACTTCCACATCCCACCTCCTACCTCCCTCAAAACATCCTCTCCGTATTACATATCCTCTTGTGTGCCCCCCCGCCTCACACCAGCCCCCCCTCGTGCAGGTCTCGGCATGCATGGGCGCTGTCTCTTATACACATCTAGATGTGTATAAGAGACAGNGCGGAACACACGCCTGAACCAGACGTGTAACACACCTCTTGTCACCAGGGTCTCTACAACACACGCCTGAACCAGACGTGTAACACACCTCTTGTCACCAAGGTCTCTACACCACACGCCTGAACCAGACGTGTAATACACCTCTTGTCACCAGGGTCTCTACAACACACGCCTGAACCAGACGTGTAACACACCTCTTGTCACCAGGGTCTCTACAACACACGCCTGAACCAGACGTGTTACACACCTCTTGTCACCAGGGTCTTTACACCACACGCCTGAACCAGACGTGTAACACGCCTCTTGTCCCCAGGTTCCGTTGATCACTACAAGCTGGAGTTCGCGTCCATGGCGAACTATATCGACGAGGAGGGGCAGAAGCGATACGAAGACGACAGGCGCGAAGAGAACGTGTCTGTCAACCTCACGTCGTACCAGTTCACGGGGGCCACCGCCAACACCAACTACACCGTCAAGGTGGGTGGCAGAACTCCACTACACCGCTATGGTGAGTGGCGGGACCCCACAACACCAACTACACCGTCAAGGTGGGTGGCGGGGCCTCACAACACCCACTATACACCGTCATGGTGGGTGGCGGGACCCCACAACACCAACTACAAAGCCAAGGTGGGTGGCAGAAACCTACAACACCAACTACACCGTCAAGGTGGGTGGCAGAACCCTACAACACCAACTACACCGTCAAGGTGGGTGGCGGGGCCTCACAACACCCACTATACACCGTAAGGTGGGTGGCGGGACCCCACAACACCAACTACACCGTCAAGGTGGGTGGCGGGACCCTACAACACCCACTACACCGTCAAGGTGGGTGGCGGGATCCCACAACACCCACTGCACCGTCAAGGTGGGTGGCGGGACCCTACAACACCCACTACACCGTCAAGGTGGGTGGCGGGACCCCACAACACCCACTACACCGTCAAGGTGGGTGGCGGGACACTACAACACCCACTACACCGTCAAGGTGGGTGGCGGTACCCCACAACACCCACTTTGAC